CTTGGAGAAGGATATGTTAGCATGGATATCACCACATTCTGGAGAAGCAAGTGAAGGAAGGGACCACGTGAGACAAGCTGTAGAGCCTGAGTTCTCAACAAGGAGTCTGTCCTGAATCTAAGCTCTTTCCTCCTTCCTGCCTTCCAGAACTTGGGGTCAGGGGCAATTCCAGTGAAATTAACTGGGCCCCAAGCTGACAAGTTGTTTAGAGGCTATAATTCAACCCTAAGGGACTGTGGGTGAAAAGACAGAGGGAACTCCTGCTGTAACTTGAAAACAAACTAGTATGAGTAAAAAAAGTGAGCTGGAGCCCATGAAATTATTAACAGGAAAGCCCCGTTCTGCTGGCAAAGCAAACACAATTGAACCGTGAGGTAGGTGAATGCTTCAGAATGTTATATTGAAGCAACTGTATGAAGCAAAAACATAGCATTCCTCTCTGAAGTTCAGTCACCATATTGGCATTGCTTCTGGTGTGACTTTAAAGATATAATGGTACAGAAGCTCATTTATAAGAAAAAATCTGGGAAACAGGAATAACTTCTGATTACTGAAAATTGCAGCACACTACATTAGCACAAACATTGTTTTCAGTGAGATTTCATCTATCAGCTACTTCTATACACAGTTGGTGAGGCTAAAGTTCATGGCCAGCAGCCAATGTGACTAACAGAGCTTGGACTATGAAACTGTATCTTTAGCAACAGAAGCACTTTGTGGGTCATACCTTCATTTCTGCAAAGTTAAAATAGGCTTGTCTCAAGTAGACACTTCATTTAATCTAAGAAAGTTGACCAAAATCTGTTTGTGTGGAACAGTGTGTAAATTCTTGTGGCATGTGGAACTAAAAATCTGTGTGTTTTCTTTGGTTCTTTATTAACTGCTGTACAAGCATTGCCAACACCTGTGGTACACGTGTGTGTATGGGTTCATTTCTGCAAAGTTAAAATAGGCTTGTCTCAAGTAGACACTTCATTTAATCTAAGAAAGTTGACCAAAATCTGTTTGTGTGGAACAGTGTGTAAATTCTTGTGGCATGTGGAACTAAAAATCTGTGTGTTTTCTTTGGTTCTTTATTAACTGCTGTACAAGCATTGCCAACACCTGTGGTACACATGTGTGTATGGGTGCACGCACGTGCGCGTACACACGCACACACACACCCCTGTTGGGGTGGAAATGCATTAGGACTTCCCACTTGTGGGTTGGGACTTCCTCCTCTCCTTCCCCCATGCTGTCATATAGATCCAGCAATCAGGATCAGGTACAAATGGTTTAGAATTAAACAATTCAGAAACTGGATATTTTACTGAGGTCATAATCCTTTCACACAAAATCCTATTTATTCCAAGCTTTCTTGTTTTCAGCAGTATAATTTAGGATAAAAGGCAGTTATTTTGTTGTTATAGTTGAGGTCTGAGATCCTAACTGATGTACCTCACCCAGAAACTGACCAGCACATCTTCATCTGCTGTTATTTCCCTCCAGCGAAGGACACGCTGAAGAGATGTGGTGTTCTTCCTATTTGCTTCTGATAGGTAGGAACAAAATAACCAACCAACTCTCCAGGGCTCCATCAAGTGTAGGAGGCAACTGTGAGGAGATCAATTTTCAATGCTTGCCTCAGCTTCTATAGGTGTGACTTGCAAGACTCGCATTATTCCAGCTTGCCACTGTTTTCAGATATTCTGTTCTCCTGATCGTTTTCTCTTTTAAAAAAAACCTTTAAAATTGCTTACCTGGAAAACCTTATCACTTTGGCAAGAAGAGTCTCCAAACTGCAGGTCAGATCCATCAGACATGAGCTCTGCATTAGTTGAAAGAACACCGTAACCCATTGACTTGATCCATCATTTTTTCCAAAGATGAATTTCCACTTTCCAAGGCATAAGACATGATCCTGCCTCCATTCTACCCAAAACCTTCTGTAGAGGAAATTTGGCATATCTTGGATGTCCAGAGGGCCCAAAAATGTATCTCAAAAGTCCAAACAGTTTAGAAAATCAGACTCCATTTATCTTTCTACCCCATCACTTTAGGCAAGGCAACAACATCAAATATCTAGATGGTTAAAGGCATGTATTTTGTTGTGTTACCAATACTATAGTTCCAAACTGCTTGGAGGTATCATACCTTACTTTACTAGGTGAGTAGCCACCTTGGTGACCTTTGGTTCTAGGACACCCTTACAAAAAAATTGCAGGGGAGCCAACTGGAAGTCTCCTGCCTTTGTCTGGCACCACTGTTTAGATCTGTTTGTTTCGGCAGAGACTGCCTTTAGGAGCAGGGTCCTACAGTGAGTGGTTGATGTATCCCAAGGAAGATAGGAGTAGCCTACAAAGGTTAGAGCTAGTTTGTTAGCTATTGTGTCCCTACGACTTTGGCTTCGTTAAATCCTGTCTATATTCAAGGTAGCTTTCTTCACTATAGTGAAAAGAAATGTTGAATTTACCATAAGACATTTTCTACAGTTATAGGGAGGCATCCTGTCCTATCTTCTGTGAGTTAGAGGTGTTTCTTTGAGGTTCAGAGGAAGTGCTGTAATTTGGTGGCTTCGAGTTTATGCTTTCTTATCAGCTGGTCAAAAAAGCTGTTTCCTCGGGTTCCCTCCTACTCTTGTGGGAGCCTTGGGGAGTTCTCATTGGTTGTTTAGTTGCTGCCTCTCAGAAGCGACTAGGAGGAATATTCTTATCTGTCCAAGATGTCCTCCTCTCACTACAAGAAATGAGCATCCTATCATGAGTCCAATGATTCTCTACTACTGCTCTCTAAGGAGCTAGTCAATATCATAGTTTACACTGTATGAAAACAGCTATATTCTGGTGAATGAATAGAAGATGAGATGAGTCTCCATCTGTTGCAAGTAAGAAAGTGATGCTCTGGTTCAAGCATTATAAAAGATCATAGAATGAAGTTGAAAGAGGCCTATAAGGCCATCAAGTCCAACCCCCTGCTCTATGCAGAAATACAAATTAAAGGATATTTGCCAGGAAGTTGTCTAAATTTCTCTTGAATGCTTCCGGAGATAGGTATGCTATGCCCAGTTCACTTTACTGTTATCACATAATTATGTGGTAAAGATTTCAAATTTAGTTTCAGAATCTTGTACAATTTTCTAAGCAAGATAATTTTACAAGATTAAAGAGTCAGGCATTTTTTCCTCCAAACTTTCAAACACCTTTTTCTAAAGTGTTTTCTGTTTGTTTTGCCTGTGAGCATGTATTTTAGGAAACAAAATACATTGTCCTTTCTTACCTATTTTCATAAAATGAATTGTTTATGTTATTAATAAAATAATTACTAATTATAATTAATCTTTGACAAATGAACTATATGTGAGTATTTCCTAATGGTGGTTAATATTGTTGGACAGAGAAAATAGGTCTCATATTTGAAGTCTGAGTATCTCTTAGTTGCATTGAATGTTTCTTTCTTGCTGTCTTCTTTCTTTGCCCTCTCTCTGCTTGTTCTTAGGTGGGAATGACAGCTAAGATTATACAATCTAAGGCTGACTTGCACAGTTTAAAATCTGCTTTAAAATTTTTATATTTTTGGTTATGCTGTGTCTCAATTTATCCATATCTTTTCTGAACTGACAAATGGTTAATGCTTTCGTTGCCAGTGTAATTTATATTACTCGGTGCTTAAAGGGTTTTTCTATTTCTTATATTGGGTTGGTTTGCAGAAATGAAGTATAGGAAATGCTGTGTTAAGTCTTCAAGTATTCTGTACCTCTTTAGCCGTTTGTTTTGAAATGTCACATGAGAGTTTTAAGAACCTACTTGAAAAGGAGTTGATGGATTAGTGAGAGCTGGAATGTTTCCTGTTGCTGCAGAAAAAAGGGGGAAAGCCTGTTTTCTAATTCTGTTTTGAGCTGTGAAGGATTTTTTTAAAAAAATTATAGTGGCATTCCTGCAAGTGTTTTCCATTAGAAATGGGTTAATTTTAATAAAGACTAGAAATTGGTTAATTTTAAATAAAGACTAATTGCAGGATAAGCTTTTATGGTCAGTAGCTTGCAAAGGTCATACAGGCTGGTTCTTCCTCCCTTTCTCCAAGAGGCACAGTGGGGGAATCAGACTTCTGACCCGTGGATCCATGCTCCTGATCAGTGGGTTATCCACTCAGCTCCATGAAAGCTAACACTAGAGTAAACTCACTACTCTTCATGGGTGCCATGGAGGTTTTCTTACTTTTGCTGTGGCAGTTTACAATACAGATATTCATTTGGAAAATATCTCAATTATTAACCAGTTGCTCAAACCTGCTCTTAGTTTATATTCTCTGAATATTGTAAGAATTCTGTGGGTAGTGCTGAGGAAGAATCAATCAATGCATTATCTGAGTTTATCCCTCATAGACTAGTCAGAAGTAGGAGTCATGTGACTTAATTGTTTCTAATGACTCCCACTATGCCTTAGTGAAGGAAATCTAAATGGGACTGGAGATAATTACAAGACATGATAGCCAGAACCAACATTTACCCTGGTGTAGAATCATTATATTTTTGGAGAGAAATGAGGTAATACAAAACATGAAAAATAAATAAATAAAGAATATAAATAAATAAGTACATGAGTTAAGCAGTCCCGAAGGGGAGGGGAACATAGTGTTGTAGATAAATCTTTTAAATGTGTATTGTAGTAGTTTTTTTCAGTTTTATTATTTTTAAGTGATTATGTAGTTATATTTATTTGTTTTTTTATTATTAAAAAAAGACTCTGGTATAACTCTCTGGGTAATATGAAGTACTGTACTCTGTAATTTTATGCCAGGCGTGAGTATATAATCACTGAAACATTCCCTAAGATAACAGCAAAGATACCTCCTAAATAAGCGGAAATGTTTGTGGCAGGAGCAGCAACTGGATCATTGCAAAACACTGGCCAGAATTCTCTTGCTTAGCATAAGAAGTAAGAGTAGAGAAGGCCCACTTGAATGAGTGAGGATTTCTTAAGTCGAACTCTCTTTAGGTTCCATGGATTCAAATGTGCCTACTTTTGTTGCAGATTGCTTAACTTAGCAAGACACAAGTTGAGTAGCCCCATTTGAAACAGTGAAACTTATGGGCCAACTGACTCAGCAAATTCCCACAGCTTCAATGGGCCTAGTATAGAATGACTTACTATGCTAAGCTGTAGAATTGCAGCTACTGTATCTGAGAGAAAGCCTTTGAACTACCTGCAGTAGGTGAGCTGGAGATTCACAGTACAATGAGGTAACAACCCCACTTTCTAAAGTAAAGCTGCTGTTGCTCTTGAAATCACCAAGAGACCCAAAGCCATTAAGGGGTTCCTACTGGGTCTGGGCAATCAAACTGAAATCCACCACAGATAACAGGTTGAATTCTTGTCACCGGCCAGTGTTCTTCACCACAGAGCAACAGGTGCCATGAGAATTGCAGGCATGTCTCCAGAAATGAACAGAGTCAAAGGGATACAGATCCATGACAGGCATTGCTGCAATAGGACTGTCACTGCAACTTAAACTTTTCCTTTTAAAGCTTGCCCCTGTGTGTTTGTGTGTCTGTCTATATTATTTATATTATTTTATTTATTTATTGGACTTATATACCGCCCCATAGCGCTACAAGCACTCTCCGGGCGGTTTACAATTTTTAATTATACAGGCTACACATTGCCCCCCCAGCAAGCTGGGTTTTTACCGACGGGCGGTTTACAATTTTTAATTATACAGGCTACACATTGCCCCCCCAGCAAGCTGGGTACTCATTTTACCGACCTCGGAAGGATGGAAGGCTGAGTCAACCTTGAGCCGGCTACCTGGGATTTGAACCCCAGGTCGTGAGCACAGTTTTAGCTTGCAGTAGTGTTTTAACCACTGCGCTACCTTTCTCCCCACATGGGACCCAAGGCTGCTCACATCTACAGTTATAAAATAAACATGTCATGCTGAAAACAAATAAGCATGTATTTTGACTAAAAACCAATATCAAAAACAATTTTAAAACAAACTTATAACCTGTAAGTTAACAAGCAGTGCTACATAAGTGAGTCTGGTATAGTAGTTTGATAAGCAGGTAACATCATTTATCTCATTAAGGTATAGTCAGTTTTTTTGGCCAGACTCTTGGATGGAATTTGGATTGATGAAGCTGCTCCAATTCTGATTTATTCAGTACAGTAACTTTATCCAGGATGTTACTGCTTCTCATGCCTGTGATCCATGCCTTCTACTGGTGTGCAGAGTGCTTTCAACCAAGAACACTCTCATTGTGCTCACCACAGATGCATCCATAACAGATGGGAGCTTAATGACAGGTTTCTGAAAGTGCATGGCACATTTAATACAATGCCCTTGCCAGCTCACAGCTCACTCTTCAGATGCTAGGGTCTCAAAAGGCATATCTGTTTGTATCCCAAGAGAATACTCAGTCCTCAGTCTGCTGCTACAGAGTAGATGGTGACCTAAAAACTCTGTGGTATCTCTTGATCCATAATTTCACATTTATCTTCCATGAATCCCTCCCCTCACCAAAGTAGTGGTGATGGCTTGCTGCCTCATCCAAACCCATTGTGGCTCCATTACCCATAATTTATTCTCCTGCTTTGGCTTTCCTGATTAATGTATATATGCCTTCTGACATCTCAGATGTCTTTGTTCAGTGTGATGGATTTGTATATTATCTGAATGTACAAAGGTTGAAGTTGTCTGATGCATTTTGGCCATACAGGGTCTTTCTCTAAGGGTTAATATCAAGTGAAGTGAAACAATTTCCAGTATTATGCTGCTTTGCTTGAAAATTCATGGGAGCACAACTAATTCTCACGTTGGTTCATTGTGAAATTAAAAGTTGGTGGTATTGCTTTTTTCTCTGTCCAAGTATACTTGAGCTACCATGTCAGCCTTTGTTTCCTAAACTCACTGTTTAATTGTTTGCTTCCATCCATTGTTTAAGAAATAGTTGTGATAGTTCTGCAACCAGAGCAACCTTTTGTAAAACCTGCAATTGCCTATACCTTGTTGGTGGATTTATTGCAACGTGTGTGTAATATTTTTAGGAACTACTAAGAATGTGAAGCTCTACCTGACAAGACAGATAGATACCTCACAGACCCGTACATGTGCCTCACCTGAAAGAAATGCCCAACTAGAAGGCTTTGAGACTTTGCTAGGCTCAAGCTTCCTGTACCTGCAATAGTGCTAACAGGGAGCTTTCTTTCTAGGCAGGTAGAGGTAGGCCTAACAAAGCCCCAATGTTTTCCAGCCGAGGCCTTTCTGCCAGGTAAGCCATGTTTAGGTGTCTTAAACTGCCCAGAGTAGACACGTTCTAGATGGACGGTATATAATTTTAATAAATTAAATAAAATAAATAAATTATGTCATAAATAAATTATGTCAAGAACTCTTGAGTTCCAAACTCTTTCATGAGTTCTTTAGACCCCGAATGAGAGGAAGGGAAGAGGGTTTGCTTTGCAATTTGTGTATGAAATCAGCTGCTATAATGTAAAAAACCTAAAAACATTGGCTATGTTTTGAAATCTCAGTGTGCAAGCTTTGACTTGCTACGACATCCATATGAAACTTTTAGAGGGAAAATCATCAAGATGATGTTCAAACTGAGTGGAGTATTGGAACTGGATGAATAATTATCTGTCAAATGATGCATTATATTATTCCCTCCATTTCATAAGAAGAAAAGCAGTGGTAGAAAAGTAGCCATGTCATTTATCTGAATAAAAAAGATAAAGGATATGGAGATGTCTTAACAGAGTGTCAAGGAAAGAGAACGCTGGGTGGAAGTGAGAAAATGATCGGTGAGATTTGAGCAGAAAATTGTGTGACTGTAGGAAATGAATATCTGAGACCATATGCTTGTACAGTCAGTCGTCCTTTCCCATTATGAACACAGGCTTCATAAGAACAATAAATCTTTCTGCCATGTTGTACTATATTGAAGTGTGCAGTTTCAAAAAGTTTGCAGTTGGACATCAGAAGAAATAAACTGGGGAAAATAGCCTTGGTTTGTACCATTTGACTTGGAAAATGTGCATTATGTTAATTCACAGTTACAGCACTTTTAAATAATATACTTAATAGAAAATTCCAGTAGGATTTCTTGGTTCTTAATGGGTTTATGGGTTCAGAGAATAGGACTTTTTGAGCCTATACATGGGTGCACGTAGATATGCTATTGGCAGAATTTCTGTATCTTTCCATTTCCATTTATCTTTCAGTGTGAAGCCTCACTTTCGGTTGTCAAGCAGCTCTGAACATTCAACAGAAGTGACATCCGCCGTCAGTGCTGTGTCAGTAGGGGATGGGCAGTTGCAAAGAGCCAACTCAAGGAACTTTCAATCAGAAAGGCAAGGAAATACACTATCTGGACATCAGGAACAAAGCTATTTACTGAAGGATTCTCCCGTCACTCAGCTAGAACAAAATGGGGATTATGGTGTGGGCAGGGGAAGGTAAGGAGTAAAACGTTCAGATACATTTTTATTATTTCTGTTAATCATCAGGAGCTGCCTTATAAAGACCAAAATTACTGATCCATCTAACTCAGCATTTTCTATGCTGAATGGCAGTTTCTCTTGTCACGCAAAAGTTTCTCTCAGCCCTTGTTCCTCAGTTTTTGAATCTGTATAAACTGTCCCTAATATGTGGCCTTCCGATAAGATGAGTATTCTCCATTAGGGAAGAAAAGATGAGTAAGTCTTTAATCACAGCACTAACTGTTGACAGTTTAAGCAGCATTTTGGATACAATTGGTAGAGACAAAGTTCATGGAAGCTTCTCTTTGCTAATTTGCAGGAGGAATGTTTTTAGAGGTCGGAGAAGACGGGAAGATGACAGACTTTCTGTAAGTATCGGTTGAGTTTATGTCAGGGAGTACTTGGACAGTTAATTGGCCTCACTCATAGCATTTCATACGCTACAGAGGGATACTGTTGTTTTGCAGTTTGGAGGCTCAGAGCATGTCCCTTCTATGTCCGTGTAAGGGGCCATTTGCTGTTACACAAATCTAACCTGGCCTTTGAGATCTCTGGAAAGCCTGCCTCTGAGGTCCTATCACAGAACACATTTGCTGGGAATGATACCAAGGACTTTCTCACTGGCTCTTTCAGTTCCTTCTGATAGGAGGCTAGCCAGTCCCTCTTACCTTTTATCCATCTATTGCCAGATAGAAGCCTTTGGTATTAGGCAGTTAATTAGCTGCTGGAGAATGGCCTTTTGATGGCTGTGCCTTACCTCTACTTTTGAGTAAGATATTATAACTGTTTTTCTTTATATCCCTTTTCAGTCTTGTTTCAAGATACCTTGAATCAGTGCTAGAAAAAAGACTGAATATAAATAAAATGAGTTCTGCTAATATTTTGTATGGATGGATGCACATGTCAGTAGCATTTAGTTACAGTGTGGCTGCACCAAGTGCGGCTTAAGGAAAGGAAGAAATGTGTGTCTCAACATCTTATCTAGCTTAAGAGGTAATGAGAGACTTGGAGAGGTAGTGGAGTGTTGTGCCTTGTTTCTTTGAATATATTTTTGGTGTTGATTTTGTTTACCGTTTTTAATTTGGTTTTTGATTCTTTTTAAAATATTTGTATACTTACTGTTTTTAGCTTTTAAATATTGTTTTTTACTGGTATATGCTGCCTTGGTTGTTTTTAAGGAGAAAGGTGGGGTGAAAATATTTTAAATAAATAAAGAGCTGCGCCCTTATGGTCTGTTAACATTCTCTTGTAGCGACCTCAGCCTTCAGTTGAAACAAAGACTTTGACACCAAAGTTTGATTTACTAGCCTCGAATTTCCCTCCATTGCCTGGTACTGCACTAAAAATACCAGGAGACCCTGTCCTTGAGAGTAGGATGTCAGATGTCGTCAAAGGAATAAGCAAAGAAAAGGTACCTGATTTCCCTTTTCATATTTTCCTCTTCTGTCCCATAGCATAAATTTATGGGATTAAAATATCTTGTTTTTGCGAAGGCTTTCACGGCCAGGATCTAATGGTTGTTGTGGGTTTTTCGGGCTCTTTGGCCGCGTTCTGAAGGTTGTTCTTTGAGGAAGAACAACCTTCAGAACACGGCCAAAGAGCCTGAAAAATCCACAACAACCAAAATATCTTGTTGTTTGCACATATTCAAATCAATCCCATTAGAAATGGTTCTGTTTAGGTGGTTTTTAAAAAGTCTTTTCTAGTCATTTCGACCACTCTAGGCGGCCAAAGTTCTATTGCTTAGGCCTTAGAGTAATAGTGTTAGAATAGGCCTACTGAATCAGTGGGGATTTGGTGAGTCAACTCTTAAGTTCTGTTGCTTCAAATGGGCCTATTCCCTCTACAACCTAAAGTGACACAACACCTCTCTTTGCTTTTGTTCTGTTTTCTGTTTCTTGTTAAATTTATTTAGTATCACTAGTATAGTTAGATTAGGCTCATTTGAATTAATAGAACACAGGAGTTGACTTAACAATTATCCAATGATTTAGTGAGTCTACTCTGAAGTGGTTTACTATGCTAAGCAAGAGGATGTGATTTACTATGCTAAGCAACAGGATTTTGGCCTCTTTGAGCATAGTAATCATGCACATGTGATATTAAACTCCATTATATACTATCTGGATTGAAAGGGGAAAATTTGTGAGGTCTTTTTTGATAAAGTGAAAGAGCATTTTGGTCTGGATTAATATGTCTGTATATCAGAAAATACAACTGAACCTTTTCATCTGAAGCAAAGCATGCATCCTCACACAAAATTATCTGTTAATAAAAAATCATGTTTGTTGTTCTCAAATGCCACGGTAATTTTCTCCTGGCCAACCTCTGTTTCTTAGCTCTTCAGTGGAAATAGCTACACTCTTAAGGAACTCTCCAAGCAGTGAAAAGTTTTTTTCTTAAGCTTAGTTGTGCACATTCACTTTGACATTGAACCATATCTGTTAAAGAGCCAGCTAGCGGGAAGAGCCAAGTGGACTATAAGCTAGAGCTCTCAGTAATTCTGGCTTACTGTTTTATATAAAACTAGCTAGACAGTGGTCATATGGCCTGTCCTGAATCCATCTTGAGTTTCAGCCAGTGCAACACGTAGAAAAGATGAAGAAGTTATTGGCCACCTGAATCATGTGTTCAGTAATACAAGAGGGGGGAGAAACATACCCATGACTTAAGATGTTTATCATCAGCATCATAGCCTTTATTTATTCTGAGTATTTCAAACTAAAAGGCCAGTATTGGGTGAGGAACCTGGGCAATTTTGGGGGGGGGTTCTGCTATGCCCATGTGTGAGTTTGTTTCTCTATGTCCATGCTTATTCTTGGGTTCCTGGGTACTGATTTGTACTTGACAAGTGCAGCTGTTTTTAACAAATCCATGGTGAGCAAAGTGCCTTGTAATTCACCTTTTTAGTGCATCCACTGTACAATATACATTCTGTTAAGCAGCAATTAGGTTTTAAAATATTTTGCTGCTCTTTATTACTGAGTAACATCTTGGTGAACTCTTGTTATGATTCATATTGTAATTCCTACTTTATTTTCTTTGCTTACTCTAGGAAAACAAAGAATTAAAAGTCAGTTGTCTAACATCTACTCAGGAAGAGCAGGATCACAATTCTGTTCAGCCTGTTGTGAGTGCCAGTTCTCCCTGTGGGATTGATGTTCCTGGATTAAGGTACAGAGACAAATCTTATGGCTTCAAGTGGCATCTTTGCAAGTGAAGAACAGTAATTTTTCCGTTTGTGTTAGATATATATTTGGTAGCACTATTTGCCAGTAGTCCACTGAAAATGACTGTATGGTTAATTCAACACCACCACCACCCCGATAAAATACCAGATTAGTACAACTGCAGACTCTTTTAACTGGCAATTTAAGCTAGTAATTAAAAACTGTTTTGCTATCATTGACCACTGGGCAAAAAAGGAAAGCAAAGTGAAAACTGGGATGCCTTTGAAAGCATAAATCAGGCTAGCTGTACAGGTTTTGAGCTGAAAGTGTAGAACATGATGACATGATGGTTGTCAGTTAGCCTGAGCTGTACTTTCAAAACGCCCCTCAAGCAGATATGTTCAAAAACACAAACTGTCAGTCAACATAATCTTTCATATATGAGAATATAAAATGATATTTTTGTCAGCCGGTTCAGTCTGCTTTCTTAAGGCTCAGTCTGCACTTACCCTCACTCAAGTAAGTGCTGGGGAGGCTGAATATTTCAAATTAAATGTAGCATGTAAATTGGTTGAAGCTGCAGGTTGTCTTTGAAAGGTAACCTGTATGGTAAGCTTGTCTCCCCTGAAAACTATTTGGAATGTAGTTACTCTCAAAAGTTGCTAAAACGCCCTTCACTTTTGCAGGATGTGTGTGGTATTTTTAACATTCCTTACTATAAATACATTTAATAGAAATGCTTAATATAAAATCAATTTTAATGGTTGTCAAGGTAGATTTGATCTAAATAAAAAAATCGTGACTGAAATAATTTTATTTTTTTAATCATTGACTTTATCCACCCTGAATGTTGTAGTGATTTAATGACTAGTACTTGAAAGTACAGTGGTTGTGGCTGCTAGTTCCTATGCAAGATGTAATGTATTCTTTTTGGACTTAACCAGTGCCACTCAGCCAGATAAGAAGGTAGAAGAGGTCCATGTGCAGAAAGAGGTCGCAAGCCAGACTTCTCCTCCTTCATCTTCTGTATGCCCCCTCAGTACTGTAAAGTCACCTAGGACGAACACCACTTCAACCACAGCCAGTGTAAACACAGCAAATACTTTGACGATACAGGTAAGGACATCTGCTTTCATGTTCTTTTGAATTTTTAAAAAGTTTTTAATAAACCATCCACCATACTGTGTAGTAATAGAACTTACAAAATGTTTTTAATGAGGAAACTGTGTTATTCTGTTTGTGCCAGTATAACAAAATAAAAGCCATGTAGCATTTTAAAGGCTGGTAGACTTACTTCAGTGTGAGTATTAACCTTGCCACCCCCATCCCAACAGTGGCCAGGTGGATCGGCTTGACCCCTGGTTCTTAACCTTTGTTACTCAGATGTTTTTGGACTGCAACTCCCAGAAGCCTTCACCGTCAGCTCTGCTGGCTGAGGTTTCTGGGAGTTGCAGTTCAAAAACACCTGAGTAACAAAGGTTAAGAACCACTGTGCTTGACCATAGATGCCATGCGCTCCCAGCACCTGTGTTGGCATGGGCCTCCTGGGTTTTGGCTTGGTTGGGTGCTTGGGTGGCCATTGCGAGGGCCCCATGAGGGGAAGTTAGTCGCTCCCCTTCCTTGTCTTCTACCTGGGGTTAAATCAATCCTCTGACCCCTCTCCTTCCCCTTTGAGCCTGCCCCACCATTCTGCCTCATCCTTCTGGCTCCCATCTGATTGCAGTCTCCTGCCTTGCTGCTGAGGTCTCCCGGTAATCCACTTCCTCCCTATTCATTTTCTCCCTGTGTTTTCTTTGTGGATTATAATCCATGAAAAGTCTTGCTGAGATAAATCTGTTAGTCTTTCAAGTGTCATAACACTTGGCTTCTTATTTTTCATTTTGGTTGTTTTATGCTTAAGGAATATAACTCAGGTTTTTGTAACAGTCGTTTTGTTTGAACAGTAGTTTTGTTTGAATTTGTGCATTTACAAAAAAATTCTTTTTTAAAAAAAATTTTTAAATTATTTTTATTTTGGGAACCTAAAGGAACCCAGGAAGCTTAGCTATGCTGAAGTCTGCCAGAAACCTCCAAAAGAACTAGCTCCTGTTCCTGTTCAGCCGCTTCGGGAGCTCCGTACCAATGTAACTTCCCCTGCCAAAATGGAAGAAAATGGCACCCATGAGAAGACTGGGGAGAAGACACATGAAAAACCTGAGGGACGAGTGAAGGACTTTGCTGTCTTCAGAGGCAGTGGGCCTCCTAAGGGAGCTGCAGGAAAAATCAGGGAACAGAGGCGCCAGTGTGGACGCAGGTCTTCTCCTCAGGGAGCGCCTCGGCGTGTGGGCAAGGAGCAGTATGTGCCACCACGATCACCAAAGGAAAACTGATAGAACTTTTTATTTAATGATAACTGAGGACTAAAGAGTGTAGAAGAGAAGCTGACCAGCTGTGAAAAATAATAAATATGGGAAAAGGGGACACATAATTCAAGAGCACAGGGTTTGCAATGTGAGAGAGAGCTTGGAGATTTCCCAGTATTCATCTCAAAGTGATATAAAATGCTGGAGGAATTGAATCAATATAAATATGATAAAGATTATAATTTTTGTAACTTTTTTTGTTTTTAATTTGCAGCGGGTTTCCTGCCTGAACTAGATTTATTGCTTTATGAATTAGCTTGTTGAATATGAGGAACAAACACACATATTAGCGTATTCCTCAATGTGAAGAGGGGGCAAAATAATATTTTTTTTTGAAAAAAAAATTCTGTAAAGGTTATAAATTACTTTTTTAAAATCTATTTAAATGTATGGCTTGTAAGATGATGTGTATGCCATTAATGGCCTTGCATTACAAATCAGCCCCAGAACTGACATGCTTGGTCAGTATGAGTGAGTGTAGCCACATACTTGTTAAGTCATGATTTAGTCACTGATGATAACTGAATGTACTACTGTAGTATTTTGTGTTTTGGAGATTTAGTCTTTGACCTTACTAATGTTGGTCAGCTTTTAAAATCTGTATGATTTTTACTTTAGAGTATACAAACAGCAAGATTAGTAAGCAAGAAATAGTGGGCAATGTTTTAATTTGTTCTAGCTCTTCCTCCTAATTATTTTATTTTCCCGTTCTGCTTTAGTATTTCTCTAATCTTTATTACAGAATAATTAATATTTCCCTGGAATTGTATTCTAGAACTGATGCAAGAAAGATACACAAGAACTGAAAACATTTATTTTGGCATCACATTTAATGGACTTGTAGCTTTCCAGTGTGCTTAATTCTTTAGAAGGGAAGCAAGTCCATTTGAGATCTGACTTTAATAAATAAATTGGTCTCTTTATGGTGGACTTGCACTGATGTATCAAAAGCTTTTTCTGTTCAAAGGTACTTCATACTATACTGATGCTTGGTATTTTTTAGTGGGAAAGCCTTTTTTTAACAATCAATTTGATAACTAGGTTTTCCCCAGTTATTAGAGATGATAGCCATGGAAGTTTTTAAGGTATTCTAGAGAATATTGGAAACAAGTCCAGCATACTGTTATGTCTAGTCAGTAAGAAAAGAAATAGGAAAATTACAATATGCTAATCTGCCAAAATCTGCATGCTAGAGTTGAAAATTCTGTATTAAAGTGCTAGGGGAAAATACACTGCAGCTACAAAGTACACCTGTTTCTTCAGTTAATAGCAAGTATACAGATCTAAAGTTGTTAGTTGTGAACACTGGAAAACTCGATTACAAGATACAACCACACATCTTAGTTTGTATATGCTAGTGGTAACTTTAAAATGTCAGTGGCAGATAAATAATTAACTGTGAAAATGTTCATCTTCTGATTTTCTTAGCCAGTTAACCCTTGGCAGTTTCTTACTCAGTAGACATTCTCCATCAATGGCTTTGAGGACACTCATATCTATTTTTATAAGTATATATATACATACATACATATATATATATATATAAAGTCAGATTTGTCATTTCTCTAACTTATTATTCAGCTTGGCAATCACTTTTTTGATTTGATTGAGAAATGTATGTGTACTTATGCAGTTGATATTCTTTTTCTACGCATGTTATTAATCATTACTCATTTTAAACTAACTGTACTGGGTTTGGCAGTCTTTAAATTTACACAAATCATTGATCACGTCTGTTAGCACACATACACACAAACCCGTGTTGGTTTACTTATAATACATGAGCCACAAAAGGTGAAAATATTTGAAATTTTAGGATCTCTGCAAAATGTATCAAAGGCTAGTTCAAAAACATTTCAAAAGAAAAAAATCTGCTGCACTTGGAGTGGAAAAATAGTTGAACTGCTACAGTTATATTTAGGGTAGACATGCACTGTGTCATTGCAAACTAAATTTGTATTTGAATCCATAATAGTTGTTCAGAGGTTTTTTTTTAAAAGGACATTTGGTGGTTGTTTGGAAATAATGTATGTCCATGGGAAGAGGCTAGCGAAAAAAAAGTTACTTGACAGTGCGAATGTGTGAGATCTAACCCTGTCTGTATGTTCCATGTTTGGGTAGAGTCTAGTATTCAAAAGCAGATCACCTTTATATGTGACTATTATCTTTATCAGATGTTGAAACCAATATAGCTCTCAATTGTGAGATAAAAAACTTGACCATTTGAAAGGATGTTGTTATACATCCTGTATGTATGTTTGGGAATGTGTGCTTTTTCACAGTGGGTTTATAGCTCTTGTGCAATTTATGTGTAAGTGTGCAAATAACTTCTTCCGATATAAAATTACTAGCCTAGAAGGGCTGACTGTAGCCTAAATATTTTATAACTTTCTCTTCACTTAACATTGCATCATCTTCTCCCCTATCCTCCTGTATGTGTCCAAACCTCTAGGTTTACAGGGATTAACAAAGCAAGTATGACTGCAGAAAAGAGGAGAACAGTGTTGTATGTTAATTTCTGTAATTATTCTGTTAACTTCTGCAAAATCAGAAACATATCTGGGCTAGCTGTTGGTCTTGTTCATTCATAGGCAGTGTCTCCATCAATCAGTCTTCCCATTTTCCTTTGAAAACAAGAGTGATATCTTGAGGATTAGATGCACTGTCAGGACAGTTCCAGTGTTTTATTGTGAGAATGTGCAATGTGGTAGTTCTTGTTTTCTGCATAGTTTCACAGTAAAATGTTAATAGGCAAATCATCATTCTTAGGGCTGATGGAAGGTTGAGGCATTGAACAACTTACACATGATTTTCCATGAATGTACAAATATACACCAGTATAACTTGTACTGGTAAATATACCAAAACAAGTATTTTCATTATAAATCTTGGTTCAGTACAGATGAAGCTGATGCTTGTATTTCATTCTCAGCATAACAACACTGAAACTAAATGAAGCATGAAATCTTTTACTTTTCTAACTTACGTTGCTGGATGCACATGCCTCTTACTTTCGAACATTATGTTTTCTTTTTAATAACCCTAAGGTCATAAAGACTATAAGAAGCTGTCTATAGCCTGAATTCTCAGTGGCTGGTGAACTTACAAGGGTGTTTCTTTAATAGCTGGAAATGTTTTTCTCCATTTCTATATTCTTACTTAATAGCTCTAGGCCACATGATTGTACTTCTGTTTTGGAAGGAAAGAAAGGGGGAGATTGTTTGCATGGAACTTGCTTTCCTGCTTGTTTTCCTTCTCTATGTTTTTTTTAAAATTAGCTTGGCAGAGTGATGTAGTTTTAGCAGTAGGTTAAAATAAATCCACCTTATTTACCAGAAGAAAACTAAGATGAAAGAGGGGCAGATCAGTAGCAGTTAAGTGACTTAAGCAATGCTTTACTGTAGTTTAAATAGGTATGGCCTTACTACTACATCAGTATCAGCTAAATGTCTGAATATATCCACTCTTTTTACTGTTACCCAAGTGAATGTTCACGTGGGGAAAAATACCTGCTACATGTGTACAGATTATTTTAAATTTATAAAATGCAGCATTGTATACAGACAAAATGCAACAGAAATGCACTTCGGGTTTGGGGTTGCTTAAACTTTTGTAAATTGTTGATTACAACAAAATATGCAATAGGTTTTTTCTTTTAACTTTTGATATTTCCTTCTGAAACATAAGATTGTTACCACCAATCTTTAACAATCTATCATGCTCTTATGTGTGTGTGAGTGATGGAAGCTGAGAGAATGAGCAGGTGTTGGTATTACATGTGGGTTTTCTGTGGGGTGGTATATCTGAACCACCCCTTCCCCCCCTTTTTTTTCTCTCTGATTGAAAGTTGGGTCTTCAGCACTGGACTCTGGAAGAGATCAAATTGGTTGTATTAATGTAGTATTAGGAAATTTAAAATGGGAGCTAATCAGTCTTCATACTAATCTGTAACAATGTCTACTATTTTATTTAATATGTTGAGATCTTTAAAAAAGATTGGCATGCATAAAATTTCCCCCAAAATATGTTCAAAATATAAGTGGTTAGTACACAAATGGCATCTGGTTTTACAAATCAAGCTACTCCGCTATGTCTTCTCCCAGAAACGTTTGGCTTCAGCATTTATAGGCTTCAAAATGACAGGGCTCCAGTTCAATGATACATGTAACAGCTATATAGCTTCTCTACTTTGCCAGTTTGATTTATTCCTGTTGTCACAGCTGTCTAAAAATAACAAATTGTATAAAATTGGTTCATGCTTAACTGTTCAAATTATACATGTATTTGTGTTTGTTTTTGACATTGCCAAGGTGCTATGGGAAATTGAAATAACAATTAGAAGGAAATAATAAAAGCCACCTTTAAAAAAGACATACTGTATTTGTCCACATTCAATATGACTTGGTCTATCAAACAGATGGTAGGGGAAAACCTGTTCAGATCACCAGTTGATCAAAGTTGTGGGCACATGGATAGGAAGTGTTTTTTTCAGATTCATTGTTAAGGCTCCTAATTGTCATAAAGGCAAGACATTTCCTTTGTTTGAATGTTGGTTCCCATTTCGGACAAAAAAACCTAAGCAATTAGTCACAAAGGAAATCTTAACTATAAATGTCTGAACAGCTTCCAGAAGCCCAGGAGTGGCACACACCCTTCCATGGACCCTTCAGATGATCCCATTGCCCACATTTCCTTACAAAAATTGGCTTTTTTTTTTAAAACCCTTTCATCCTCTAGCAGCCAACTATTTCTTTTAGAAAATTATAAATTGTGGGAAATACGAGGCTGCAAAACATAGAAAAGTTATTCCTATGGCTCCAGAAAGAAAAGAATGTTTTGAGCCAAGTATTTCTCCAAAAAGTATTTTCATTTTGTGAGTGTTTTAGGGAAACGGTGGTGGCAGCAAGAGGGCCTTTCATTGCCTCCCACTGTTGTAAATGAGGGACTAGACAAACACGTTAACATTTCGATTTTTTCCCCCTTTAATTTTCACTTTTCAGTACAGTGGTGCCTCGCTTAACGATTTTAATTGGTTCCAAAATATTCGTCGCTAAGTGAAAACATTGCTAAGCGAAACGCGGTTTCCCATTGAAATGCATTGAAAACTGGATAATCCGTTCCAATAGGAACAAATTGCCATCCTTAAGCGAAAATCGCCATAGGAAACATTGCTAAGCGAAACGCAGTTCCCCAATTGAAATGCATTGAAACCTATTCAATGCATCTCAATGGGGGAAAAATTCAACAACAAATTAAAAAAGAGTCAGAACAAAGTCAAATTTGGTTAACAAAGGGTTTATTAAGTGCACTTTATGATTTCAAACATTTTGTGTGTGTTTTATCAAATATTTTAAACAGTAAACTATAACGTTTAAAAAACAGCAAACATGAGGCTATTTAAACCATCGTTAAGTGAAACAGGGGACCCAAAAA